CACAAAACATGAATCTTAAGATAATAGGTATGCCCTTGATACTCAGGCCCTCCTCAATTTAAAAATCTTTATTTTTCAGTCCGAATTATTAAAAAATAACTTCCAAACTTTGATTTGAGTTAAGATAGAGCATTCAAACTCTTACATGGTTAGTCATGCCGAGGTCCAAATAGACGAAAGAAAGAAAAAGGGAAAAACATCATACAAACGGGCTTTTTATTTTTATTTTTTCTTTTATCACAAGGACTCATATTTGTGGTGGGTTTGATTTCATTTTACAGCCCACTTACCAAGTGATTCAGCCCATCAATGGCGACCCATCCATTGGCAGCCTTGAAACTCCGGTAACTTCAAGTCCATTGATAGCATGGTACCTCTCCAACCTTCCGGCTTACCGGACCGCAGTGAGCCCACTACTGAGAGGAGTTTGAGGTAGGCCTGGCCCATGGGTTCCTCCTTGTAGGACCAATCGTTAACGACGGCCCATTTCTGAACATTCCACATGCCGGAGCAGCAGGGCCCTTGGCAGCCGCCGGCCTAGTGGTCATACTAAGCATTTTCTTGACCATCTATGGCATTGCATCCTTCAATGAAGGAGAGCCCTCCACCGCTCCCTCGTTGATCTTAACCGGCTGGAAGAAGGAGCCTGACCAACTGCAAACGGCTGATGGATGGGCCAAAGTTCACCGGAGGATTTTTCTTTGGAGGAATTTCCGGTGTCACTTGGGCATACTTCCTCCTCTACGTCCTAAATCTTCCTTGCTGCTTCAAATAGACTTTGATTGTCTAAATGGTGTTGTCATGTGAGTAAAAAAGTTGAAAGAATTTTTTTTTTTAACCAAGTTTTATAATTGAGGATGGGGGATTCGAACTTTAAATTTTGCATTAAAAACATACACTTTACAAGTTGACTTATAGTCATTGGGTTGTGAGGCCCAAGTGTAAGTTGAAAGAATTTTTTTATTTTATAAAACAATTGAAGTTTGTATATTTTGACAAAAAATTTTGTTAAATTTTAACCACTTAACTATTTTGATTTTCTATATATACACATGTATCTTTTATACAACACAATTTATCAATTTAAACGAAATTTAAAGGTTTAATGATCATTTTGGTCTATGAACTTTTCATTTAGTACCAAAATAGTCCTTAATTTTTTTTTTGAACCAATTTTGTCCCAGAACTCTTTATTTTTAAACCAAAGTGGTCCTTCCGTTAATTGTCAGCTAACATTGCTCCATAACTCAAGTGAAAGGGAGGCGCGATTGTTAGATTGAAGAAGAAAATTGGAGGAATCACACGCATACTCCCCAACTTTGGCAGGTTACTGTAGCACTGATACTCCACCATTTTCATTAAGGTGTTAGCTTAGTTCCTGTTTTTTCATTTTCTTAGGGGTCTTGTAGGATCTACAGTTAAGTTCGTTTTTTCTTTTCTCTTTTAAGTCGAGTCTAGTTGGTTTCACATATGATTGGCTAATAGGTGTATAAAACAACACAACTAACCTTAGCATTCAAGTCTAACTTAATTCTAGAACTTAAACAGAATCCATGATCATTAGATTCATATTTGGTTTCAATTAATTAATTTTTGTTATGATCATAAGTAATGTTAGGTGATAAATTGGTAGTCCTTGTATTTACACATATAGAGGTTTTCTACAAAAGTAGGGTTGATACGCGTTCTAATTTATAGTCAGATGATGGCCCCTCTCGGATATCTTGTTGGTGCAACTATTCTACATACTTGCTAGCTCTCAGATATCTTGATGGTGCAACTATTCTACATGCTGGGTCAGACTTATGCCTTACAATTTTTTTTTTTCTTTTTTTCGGGTTGGAAAGCTGGGAACAGAATATTATAAACAAAAAAAACAAAGATGAGACTTATGCTTTTCTACTTGATGTAGGCTTTGGGAACTTTTTTTTTTTTTTTTTTTTTGGCAAAAACCCTCGTCATTTGGAAGTACTTCGTACAAGAGAAAACTCTATTAATACTTATTGTTCAATTCATACGACTTAAATTTAAAATTTTGCTTAAAAAAAATTGAGTATCCTCTATTCGAATAAATAAATCGTTGGTTTTGGGAGCCAAATTTGTATTTAATAAATGATTTTATTTAATTTTTATCACCCAAAGAAAATGGAATTTGAATTTTCTCAATCCTAAATATAAAAACAAATGAACCCAATAAAGAAAGGGAACAATTTTATGGAAAAAGGAAAATAGAGAATTGAAAATGTTATAATGTAGAATTATAAACTTATAATTATAATGTCTTGATATGAAATAAATATATATAATATTATAAGTAAACTCATAAATTAAAAAGAGTCAAATATATAATAATATATTATATTATAAGTTTATACTAATAACTTGTTAATTTAAGTAGAATGAATATGATTTCTCTTAAATAAAATTTTAAATTTGTGTATTATTAATGAAAAAATTAACACGTTAAAAGATTCTTGAAATTATAAATTTATATATTGTATGCTATTGTAATTATAACATCTTTTTTTTTATAGAATGGCTGTGTTTAGTTTGAAATGTAAAAAAAAGTACAATATAGGTTATGAAAATATTAAAATACTATTTAATGAATCTTATTTAATAAATCTATTAAAATATTTTCACAATCCACGCAATCTGCAGTTCTGATTGAAAAAGAAAATGACAAGAAAAATATTCCCGCTTTATTTAGTAAAATTATAATATTAAGTTTTTAATTTTAATTTTTATCAATTTTGTAATTAAAAACATTCATTTAATTTCATGTGTTTTTATAAAATATTATTAGAGTAATGATAGGAAGAATTAAAATTTAAAGTTAATGACATGATTTATGTTATATTATTAAATTAATTAATATATATAATATTATGAATTTAAAAAATTAAAAAATAATTATTAAATAATATAAAATTTATCTTTAATATCATGATGTATATTACATTATTAATTTTAAAATTTAATCTTATTTATTATTATTTATATTATTATTATTATTAAAAAAATAAACACAAAAATAATTTTAACTACTAAAAAAATAAATATTTTTAGTTACAACCATTAAACCCTAAAATTTTAAAAAATCAAAATGAAAACTTTAAACTATAATCATGCCGTACTTCAGGACGACTAATTTAATACATATAAGTAATCAAACATTTCCTCCGAAAAAAAAAAAAAAAAAAAAAAACTTTAAACTATAATCATGCCGTACTTCAGGACGACTAATTTAATACATATAAGTAATCAAACATCGAAAACAAAATTTCCAATGAGCAGCACACAAAAATAATTAGCCACATACAAAAAAAAAATTTGTTTTGTGGCTAAGTAGCATTTTTTGTAGACTCTGTCACCATCCGTCTTCCATATGGACCCTTTTACTGAAATGGGTATTATGGGTTCGTCTTCCAAAGCTTCAGAAGGCAAGTCCATGGCGGTGGACGATCAACCTCAAACATTCCGTGCAGGTTCAGTCGTTGAGGTCAGCAGTGAGGAGGAAGGCTTCAAGGGTTCATGGTTTGTAGCCAAGATTCTAACTTTACCTAAAGAGAGGAACAAAGGCAAGGCCTTGATTCAGTACCAGACATTGATTACAGATGAGGAATCAAGGAAACCATTGAAAGAGTCTGCAAGTCTCTCCTTCATCAGGCCATTGCCACCAGGACCTGAACCAGACCAGATTTTTGAAGTGAATGACATTGTTGATGCATTTCACAGAGATGGGTGGTGGGTTGGTGTCGTTTCAAGAGTTCTTGACCACCGCAGGTACTATGTGTCTTTTGAAGAACCGGGTGAACAGCTTGAGTTTGACCGTTCAAATTTGAGGGTACATTTGGATTGGCTTGATGGCAAATGGGTTAAACCTCAAAAGCTGCAGGTATTCATGCATTCTGTGTGTAGTTGTGAATAAATGTTTGTTGGTTGTTCTTCCGATGCATTTGCTTGGTACCCATTTGTGGGTTTCAGAAACTTTATAAATTAAGAATCTTTTTAGTCTTTGCTGATATTCCCTTTTGTCTCTCTCTGTTTATTGCTTATTTGATACAGTTTTGCTGAGTTTTTAACTGTTTCATGGAGGGTTTGGTAACATGGAAATTTAGTCATTCATGAAAATAATTGCTTGTTGGTATTTTGCTATCGCTAGTGGACACATGAGGTCTGAGATATCTCTTGGAGTTTCATGAAAATTTAACTGCCAATGATTACAAAAGAGCCTAAGTGTAAGGCTGACCTGTGTGATACTCCTTTCTGGTGACTTTTTTAATCTAAATGGCTGCTTAAAAGATTTTAGAACTACGAGTTTCTTGATTTTTCCGTTTACTCTTTTTTTGGGTGGGGGAGGTTGATAACTGGTGCTTAAGGTCATATTCTTGAGTCATGGCTGAGGCTTCTATAGAGAATTCTTTGCATTGAGAGAGGCTTTGGATACAACACTACTTGTCTGCATCTGAGATGAAGTTCTAGCTTTCCAGGATGTTATGGTGGAATATAGTGGAATTTAGATTATTGGATGGAGCTCTTAATCAGGGAGGGTAAATAGACAGTTTGGAGCTTTTAGATGCAGCTATGTGCGTGTGTGCTGGATTAGAGACCCAAACCATGGAGCTGAAGATGCGGTTGTTTGCAAATTAGATAGAAACTTGGGAAGATTTGCTTACAGAGTAAGAGTTTCTGGTGTACCCTACTTGTCATGGAGTCTGTAATTAGAACTTCCCTTGCGACATCCTTTTTTTTTATTTTCTTCTTTTCTATTTGTGTACTCACATATTTCATGGATGATGTCAACGTGTTATCTTAATTTGCTCCAGTTGTCTTTCAAATGAATGCTTCTGCACTGCCTTGCTTGTCCATTTTTTCTCTTTTTCTTTCCCCTCTGCATCCCACTGATTCTAATGAGGATGTTATCATTTAAAACAGGAGTCCAATCGTAAAAAGGTTGATGGAGTTGAGAAACTTATTATTAATACTTTTCAGAAGAAGAGGAGAAAACTACAAAAATGTAAAAGTCAACTATCTCCACTAGTACAAGGTGCGTCTCTTCTTTCATTTGATTGTACAAAGTTTGACTTTCGTATCTACTAACAATAATGTAAATGACATGCAGGTAAGGAAGGTAATGCACTGGAAATTGTTCCAATGGATCATTTAATTGAGGAAGTTGAATTTTCTGTCCATGCAACATTGAAGGTATTTTTCTTTTCTTTTCTTTATTTTTATTTTTATTTTTTGTTTTTGAAGCAATAAGAAAATAAAAATTCTTAATATGTCAAGTTTTTAAGTTGAGTTGAGGTTTTCACTTATTATGATATTAGAGTTTCTTTTGCTTATAAGTGTTCCTGAGTTTGTTCTTGAGCCTTCTTGTTTAGGATAGTCCAGTTTGTACATGGTATAACTCTCACTTCAAACTGGCTTGTGTTTGAGAGGACGTGTTATAGATTGAAATTGACTCTTGGGCCATCACCTATTGATTTTAGCTACTTGTACATAAGTTAGGGTTCTAGAGATTGAAACCTGATCTTTTATTTACTGTTACTCTGTAAGTATAAGATTTTGGGTTTAAATGGTTTTCTAACTTGTTCTCAAAGGATCACTAATTGTTGCAAAAGATTTATTGGAAATTACACTAAGTCACCAGGCAAGACGTTTCAAGCGTATCCATCAAATCCATGAATAAAACATGGAAAGAGAGTAATAAAATTGATAAGTGAAAAAGAGAGAGCCTTTTGTAAGTGGAAGGATAACTAAATAGCAAATGCAATTCCTAATTACTTTTAAGATAGTTTCCTTAAATTTATAAAAATGGAGAAAAAGTTTTTTGTTTTTTAATTGTGCCTATCTTTCTCGTAGTATTCTTCTTTCTTTCCAGCAACTAAAGGGAATTGACCCATCCTTTTTTGAGGCCAATACTCTCACTACATATATATATTTTTTTTCATTTCATTTACCACTTTCAAACAAACTGTTAGCACAAAATGCCAGTAAACTTGTATGTGTGACTGTTTCATCTTTTTTGATCATGTATTCACGAGCACATTTAATTTGAATGAATGAGGAAAATAAAGAACAAGATCTTAATCTAGAGTCTTTTCCTCAAAATTGGGTGAGATAACTAGATGTGGTACCATTTTTATAGGTTGGTAAGCCTGTTAACATGCTAATCTGGTAATTAGATGAGGTCAAGTGTTTCCTTCCTCTATATTATTTATTTTTTCCTTCCCCTTTTGCGATTAGTATCTCAAGCCTATTTTTGGGAAATTGGCTGGTATTTCAAACTTTGAATACTTTATTGTCATAAACACATGAAGCATTTGTTAATATAAATTTTACCATAATCATAACTGATTCTAGAAGTGTTATGGAGAATTTTCATGAATTTTTTTGATTCCCCATATCTTTCCAGTCCCCAAAATGACCTACTTCTTCTTCATCTAGTTTGTTAATTGGTTAACAGATGGCCTCTATTTGGCTTTTACTTGCTCAACATTTACTGATCTAAGGTTGCTGTTTTGATGTTTTACAATCCCTGCAGGATATTAACCAGCAGAAGGGTCATGTCATGAGCAGGCACAGGAAAGAAGATTGTAGTACAAGAGCTCGAGCGAAGAGAAAGCGACCTCAAGTGGTGTATGAAATTATCAAGCCTTTGTCTGTTGATGTTCCTCAAGCACATTTTACAGAACACACTGCCAAACAAGCTGACTTGTCCAGAGTCTTAGGGTTGGAGCCAGGTATGAGAGTCACAACCTGAAAATTCAAAAAGTAGTTTATGAGTTTACAAGCAATTATTAGTTTGTTTGACCCATGGACATGCTCAACCTAGGTCTCTTAGTTTCAGTTATGCTGATGGCAGTGCACATTTTAGGTTTTCAGTTACTTTCCCATGTTTCCTCAGCAATCAATGGCAGACATCATGCAAGGAATGCACTGCATCCTGCAGGCTTAGTGCAAAACAGTTTGTTGGGAAAACTTTGTGTAATCATTCTATTGTTCAATCTATTTCCTCTCTTCTTACCAGTGAGCAGATAAAAAACAGACTGTATTTTGTGGGTGAAAGAATGAGATGAAAGCATGAAAACTATAAAACATTCCTTAGTAATTTTGCCTGAAGCTAGGGAAGCACAGATATATAGTTGTGAGATTGTTGGGAAACTCTGTGTAATAATTCTATTGTTCAATCTATTTCCTGTGTTCTTACTAGTGAGCAGATGAAAAAAAACTGGCTGCATTTTGTGGGTGAAAGAATAAGAAGAAATCCTGGAAACTGTAAGACATTCCTGAGTAATTTTAACAGAAGCTAGGGAAGCACAGATATAGTTGTGAGATTGTGACAGTTTTTGAAAATTTGAATATGACACTGGGGGATTTGTTATTAGCAAAGATTAAGTGACATTACTTCTTTTGTTAAATCCTACATTATACTAGAATTAAAATTTATTGGTAGTTGTTATGATTCACTATGTGTTTGATATGTGCATGAAAGGTTCCAAGTACTCTATGAAATTCAGTGTGCATTTTTTTTTTCCTGGTAAGCAGTCTTTCTTAGGAATCTATGCCACATAGTTAAGAAGGGATAACTTTAACATGTGACTTGATTATCTCTCTCCAGCTGCTGAATTTGCCTTTTCTTTTATATATGATCCCCAACATTAGTAGTAGAAAGAAAATAGTAAAATGAAAGATGAAAATCTCCCATCTTTTCAATATTTAAGTATTTAAAAAACTGCTTTGCAATTTGTAGGATCTCAAACTGCAATCAAAGGAACAATTAATATAGCTTCTGCAAGAGATTGCAACACAAAAGAAAATGAGGTGGTTTTGGCTGTAAAGGCCTCTGATATTTGTCATGATGTGCAACCTATTTCATCTTGCTTTGAAGATGCGCCATCAACACTTGAACTTGCAAACATGCCACCCATGCTAATGAAAGGAATTGAATCTGGTACATTATTGAATCATCGCAACATTTTGCATCATGTTTCAGTAAATTTTCTGATTGGAAATACACATCTAGAAGTGTTGGTTGGATGACTGTTGACTTCTAAACTGTCTATCCAAGAGGGTTGCCCTAGACTAGCAAACTTTAATCCCTTTTCTTTTTAAAGGCTGATGGTAAACATGAATAATTGGAAGAATATATGGTGGAAGAAAGATGTGTTCATCATGTTGTATTCAAACGTTCAGAAGTCATAACCTTGATTTTGTAGGTTCTCAGACGGCAGTGGTCGAAATAGTTTCCACAACAGATTGCCAGACAAAAGAAAACAAAGTGATTTTGGCTGAAAAAGAGTGCAAAACAAGTCATGGCAGGGAACATAGATCATTGTGCTTCAAAGAAGCTCAGTCCACGCTTCGAGACATTGATACCTCGACAGTGAATGAACAAGACTCCAGTAAGTTATTTATGTAGTATGACATATCAATTCCCTTCTCCTTTCAGTAGGATTTCTGAGCCCCAAATATTCCAGGTCTTGTTCCTGATGGAGTTGTGAATCAACAGAATGATGACAGAGAAAAGGCCCTTGAAGACAGGCGCCCATTGCTTATGAAAGGAAATGACTCCGGTGTGTTATTTACTTTTTATGACATTTCACATCATGTTTCAGTAAGTTCTCTGATTAGATATACATGCCTAGATGTGTCGGATGACTGTTGTCGTCTAAAGGATCTATTTAAGAGGTTACCCCATGCCAGCAAATAGTAACCCCCATTCTTTCATGGTTGATGGGAAACATGAATAATAGGAAGAACATGGTAAAAGAAACATGTGTTCATCACTGTTGTCTGGTTTCGAACACTCAAAACTCCTTCATTTTGCAGGTACTGAGACTGCAATCATTTATGTAGTTTCTGCAACAGATTGTAAGACAAAAGAGGATGAGGTGGCTTTGGGTAGAAAAGACTGCAACATGTGTCAAGATGAGCAGCCTTTGTCATTATGCTGTGAAGTAGCTCAGTCCACACTTCAAGACACTGATCCCTCTCTAATGAATGGAAAAGACTCCAGTAAGTTTTTTTTTTTAACATCAAATTACTCCAGTGAGTTATTTACTTAATGTGACAATGATTCAGTCCCTTTTTAAGTAAGTTTTCTGAGAAAATATTATTGTTTTCTAGGAGAAAAGCCTCTCGAAATTGAGATGCAGTCACCTTCAACTGGTGCCATGGGCAATGGTGAGCTAATGGAGGGGCAAGACTTTCTTCTCCTAGAGGACTCACCAGTCTGGAAAGCAGTTAGATCCATGGATGTTTTCCAAACCATGCCTCAGAAACCTCATTTTCGACCCTTACTCAAGGCCAAAGAGATAGCCCGTGAAGGATTGGCTGTTGGTCATATGATCACATTTGCAGCATTGGTGCAGAAGGCAAAAAAATTGAAAATGGGGGATCCCATCAAGAGTTTTACTAGCATTCTGGAATCTCTTCCTGAATTTGAGATACTTGGATTTGACATTAAGTCAGTGAAGCTTCGCGTTAACAGGTTGTTGTTTCTCAAAGATAAGCAAGAACGGCTTCTAGGGAAGTCGAAGGCCAATGCAACTAAGGTCACAGAGCACTCTAATAAACTAACCACATTGGATGCAGAGATAGAGAACGTTGAAAAGCAAATGAAAACCTTAGCTGAAAAGCAAACATTGCTCTTTTCGGAGAGGCAGATAGAGAAGTCTAAAATTGCAGAGGTGCAAGAAGAAGAAGAGGGTACCGTTCAAGACATCCAACGCACCGAGATGGATTTCGAAAGTATAGCCACTAGCCCTTGGTGACCACTATGGTTCTCTCATATGACCTTTTTGTTCCACCGTCTACTAAGCTATATTTTGGTCCCAAATTAACAGCCCAAGTGAACTTGTTCATAGTTATAGGGCATTGAATGACATACTACTGGGAAGAAGATTATACCTTCAAGTGGCTTTTTTTTGGTTATATATGAGCCATTTAAACAAACTAATATGTAGATATTGCAGTTACTAATGAGTAATAGAAGTGGGTAACTTAAAATAGGCAAATAGTTTGTTTTGGGTCCATATGAACCCTTGTGGCAACTTCAGTAACTAATCTCTGTTTCTTCCTAGGAGTTATGTTTGTGTTTCCTATTTTTCTTCATGCATGTGGTTTTGATGATTTCTAGCTAGTGCGTTTCTGGTGACCAACATGAAATGCACTTAGCTGAATTATGCTGAAACATAGTGTTAATAATCATCAAAATGAAACATAAGGATTACAGGACAAGTCCTTGTGACGATGCGCCTAAGGCGGCACGTGTAAAGAGGACTTCAAGGGTACGCCATTCCCATTTAGTCTAAAGGATTTTTCTAAGCAGGTTAAGGATTTCTTTCTCAATTAATGTATATAAAAAATATAAATGTCAATATAAGTAAATGAATTTAACTAAATGATTAATAAATTAAACATTAATTTTTATTTTTTAATATAGATTTAAGAAAAAAAATATTTATTATATTTTAATTTATATCAAGTTAAAAAATTTTCAAGTCAAATATAATTTGGTTAGTTATGAAGATCAATATAAGAGTTTTTTTTTTTTTGTTTAATAACTCTCTTTCATCCTTAACTTTTATGTTTATTGTGTAACTTAAACTTAAAACATATTACTTTATTTAGATAAGAGATTACTATTAAATCATTTAGATATTAAATAAGTCCTTGAAAAGAAAAACAGTAAATCTTGTTCATAACCTCTGCAGCTCTTCTAGACCCTCAGTGAACCATACAACTGGGATTGGGACTCATTCCAGGGTTTGGAATTCACCAAACCTTTCTTCCATGGCCAACAGTGAGCTTTTACACCATTGATAAAGAAAGCTTTGGAACACGAACCCCTACATTAACTTGTTATGGAAACCATCTTGATATTTACCATTGAATGTAGTCATTTGTTGCAATTAATTAAGCCCCTACACTAGCGTTCGAGCCAATAGAGACTCTAAAAGAAAATTTGAAAAGTTTAAGCTCCTTAACTATACAACTATCATTTTACTTAATTCTTGTAAGGGCATCATCACTTTTTATCCATTATCTTTGTCGGGGCAAACTCACTAGAAATTGTCAAATTTTAGAGTTGGTTTCATTTTACTTGCCAATCTTCAAAAACCAAACAATGAAGTCCCAAACTTAAAATTTTTGTAGTTGACAACTTGGAGTTTCAGAAGTTGAAAATTCAATTCCACTTTTTAACATTTGTGGGTTAAGAATTGATTTTGTAAGTAGAGAGGGTAAGAATTGTTTCTCATCATCTAATCCTTCATGTCATATATATGCAAGTTTAAAGGCTTAAATATTCCAAATTTTCTTTATTTGAGGTTCAATTGATACAAAATTCTTTATTTGAGGTTCAATTGATACAAAATAAAGAGACTTGATTGCCTTTCCGGTGCTTAATTCCATTTTATCTCCCCATTACTTTATTTTAGATTCAAAATCCATTCAAAGCAAGCGAAGTATTAAGATATTAGAGTTCAAGTTTGAGTCCCTCTCATAAAGCTGGAGTTGAACTCAAACTTTATTATGTTTAAAATAATCAAACTTGAGCTCAAATTTACTAGTTTATGGGGTTCAAAATTCACTAATTTTACAAGTGAATTTTAAAATAAAATGAGTTGAGTTTGAATCATTTTCTATTGTTTCTTGGTTTATTTTACTTGTCATAGTTTTTAAAAAGAAATAATTTAATTTATTTGTTAATTTTAATTTTTTATAGTATTAATTCTTTTTTTTTTAATTTGTCCATATTATAAATTACTCTATTATTAAAAAAACACATCTTAACTCCTCAACAATCCTCACTAATAAGAACAAATATAAAATTTTAATAATAACAACCGTGTCTTTATTAAAAAAATGATAATTTAAAGGTTAAATTTATTGATAAGTAAATAATATTATTTTATAAATCAAGTATAAAGTTTAATTCTTAAGACTATCACCATCACCTTAAAAAATTAAGTTTTTTAATGACACATTATTATTATAAATGACATTTTAAGTGTAACATTGTCGTTATATAAATATTTATAATTTTGAAAGATTAATTTACAGTTTAACAATTTAAACCATACCGAAATGCAAATTGAAATGCAAAGCAGTGGACTCTTATAATTTTCTCAATAATCACGTAAAACAATAAATGTATAAGAAGCTACCAACGAGGGTTAGATAAAGTGATAAGCAGCTTGTTTCAGTTTAAACAAGATCTCAAGTTTGAGACCTTATGTACGCAGCGACCTCCGTTGGGAGACCTCCCACCACAACTCGGTGCGCCACGTAGGTTGATCTGGATTAATCGAGGCGAAGTCTCGATACCGATGGAAAACCGAAAAAAAAAAAAAAAAGTATAAGAAGCTGGCAGCCGTTACTGTGGGCTCTCGAGAAAAAATTTTTTTAAAATTATTTTTCATCTTTTATTTATTTTATTACATCACATATCACGAATTCAAAATTTTTATTTTTAAGAGGTAATTATTAAATTATTTAAATTATTAAATTTTATTTTTTATTTTAGTTACAAATAAAAAATAATCATTTCTTATTTTATTTTATCATATATCATATTATTTGAATTTAAAATTTTTTATTTTTAATAAAAATAATAACCAATAAATTATAAATTATGAATTATTTAAGTTATTAATGTATCTTGAGAAATTATGTTTAAAAAAGAAAGAAAAAAAGAAAAACCCCGTCTATTTTATTACAAAATTAAAAGGTCAAAACTGGGGCATTTGCGTTAGAATAAAGAACAATCGGAGACCTACTCCTACTTTTTATGTGAATCCCTCTCCCGTTACGCGGTTCAGAGATCTTTGCTGCTCGCAGGATCTCTTTTTCCAGATCTCCTGGACGCAATGCTTCTTTCAATTCCGGCAAAAAGAAATTCTCAGATCCAATGTTGATCTCTGAGATCTCCTTCCTTTGATTCAGATCCAAGTTTTTCTTTTTCTTCTTCCATAAGATTTTCCCAGGCAAAATTTTTTCTCCAATTTCGGAGTCCACGCCATGGGTTCGTGCTCGAGGCCCAGGAGTCGCGCTTCGATTCGCTCTCTTCTTCTTGCTGGTGGTCTCCTTTTCTCGGCTCTCTGTATCGTCTCTGCTCAGGTATTTCGCTGTCTTCGTTGTTACTCTAGGTTTCGTTTACCTTTTGAGAGCCATTTCTGAAGGTTTTTCAGCTGTTTTATGGGTAATTGTTTTGGATGGTTTTGTTTTGTGGGGTTCACTTTTTCAAACAAGTTCTGCCAGGTTAGTTAGCGTTAGATTTAGAGAATTGTTTGTTTTCTGTTGTTAGGATTCTGTGGTAGAAAATGAAAAGGAAGAATCAAGTGGGTCACTTGATCTCGGCCGCCGTGGTGGAATGGTGAGTCTGTTTTTCCTTCTCGGTGTATTTTTCTTTTTTCAAACTGCAACTATACGAATGCTTTTGAAATTTTTTTGATTCTGAATTGCCATGTACAGAATCTTCAGAATGATGTTGATTCCATGGTTCTTGATCCTGGGTTTGCCTCTGTTGGTCTGGGCGTTTTTGATGCCTTCTTTACAAGTTTGTCCATGATAATTGTCAGCGAGGTTTGTGTATTGACTATTGAGTTTGTTTAAGTTATTATATTAGTACTGAAGTTCTCACTTTCCATTGATATATATATATATATATATTTTCTCAAATTAATCTGTGATTTTATACTGGTACTTAGATTGGAGATGAGACATTTATCATAGCTGCTCTAATGGCGATGCGCCATCCCAAGTCAATTGTGTTGTCTGGTGCGCTAGCTGCCCTGATAGTTATGACAGTAAGTTGGCTGTTGGCAACTTTTTCTGTTCTTAGATTATTACTCTGACATTAAAAATTTTGTTTAATTTTAAGGTGCGGATCTTTACCTAGTAATGCTATCTACTTGTATCCCATATCTTAGGACTTAAAACCTTAAAAAGTTTCTAATTTCTATACATGTCAATAGGTTCTTTCAACTGGACTAGGTAGGATTGTGCCTAATTTGATATCAAGGAAGCATACAAATAGTGCAGCCACAGGTATTACGTCAACTCTATAGTTTCTATTTTAGTCACTTAGTCTTATATCTCTCAAGACTTTAGTTTCTATTAAAATGCCCAAATTTCTGCAATACGTGTTCATCTTGCGTGAATTTATTATCTTTACTTGCTGTGGTCTTTATATCATATCTGCCTCTTTGTAAATCTGTTATATATGGAGGCAATTATAGTTGTATCTGTTAGCAAAAAGAATACAATCTGTTATTCAGAGTACAAATTGCAATTATAATCTAATTTCTGATTGATTCTATGTATTTTAAGTAAATTTGCATGAGAAAGGTTGGAACAAAAGGTGATGAAGTTATATAGACTGCCACTGTTTTCATCCAATGGTATACTTGCTTTTGGGAAGAATGTTGGATCAAGTACCATGTAAAGAAAATGAGTGAAAAGATGGTATTTTCTTTATCCATCAGAAACTAAGCTTACATTCAGGATAATGGCATGATTTTTAAACCTTATGCCAATATTTATATGGTGCGTAACCTTCCATTTCCAGCATGCTTTGTGCCCTCATTACTTTTAAGCATATAATCTCAAAGGATGGATTTTCATTATTCCATTCCATATAACTCCAAGGAGTTATTTTGTCTTTAAACTCCCTCACAGGAATTCAGAACAATGCCTGTCCTGTGGCAGTCTTCACTCTTTATATTTAACTTTTATCTGTCAGTGCCAATTTTACCACATACTTTTATTTTATCTACTTTTATGATGCTTCTTTTTGGCTGGTATAACGCTGGCTGCTGGTCTGATTGGAGCACTATTTTTCGTTTTTATCATTATCATTGCCTTTTACTTTCTATGTGAAAGCATGCTAACCTGAAAAGTGTAGAAAATTGGTTTCATAGGTTGATTCTTCTGAGTTCTGCCTTGTAAATCTTAGCTATCATTTTCTGCATCTCTTTTCTACTTTGGTTCTGTTGTTAAGATTAACTAATAAGAGGTGTTTTGTGCTTTAGATTGAGGTTAAAGTAACTAAAAGATTGTGTTTTGTCCTGATATGCAGTTCTCTATGCCTTTTTTGGACTTCGGTTGCTTTACATTGCTTGGAAATCAGATTCAAAGTCATCTCAGAAGAAGGAAATGGAAGAGGTATGTTTCACGATCAGATTCAGATATAATTGTAAATGTATAGGTACAGATTGCAAGATAGGCATTAAGAAGTGCCTGCTCTTCTCTATAGAAGTGCTGAATTTCTTTAGGAGGATTGGAACTTTTACAATTTTTACAATCTCATCCTTTTCCTTTTTATGCTTTTGTTTCTGTGTGGAATTATTACCTCATCCAGTTTATTGTTTTTTTAGTTATAGTATTGTAGTGAACAGAACCTCATTAGATGGTTTCTGATCATCTGACATTATCAGGTGGAAGAGAAACTAGAGGGTGGTCAAGCAAAAACAGGCTTGCGACGCTTCTTTTCTAGATTCTGTACACCAATTTTTTTGGAGGTATATTTCCATGGCTGCCACTTATTTAGATTCCCATCATTTTCCTAACCAACAATTGAACAATATATAAAATGAATTAATATTTTCAACAGTAACATATTGATAGGTTTTCAAATCTATTTTAACTGTGGTATTTTTGTTTTAATCATGCAGTCGTTTATTTTGACGTTTCTGGCAGAGTGGGGCGACCGTAGCCAGATTGCAACAATTGCGGTAAGATTGTTCTCCCGACCTTCAGTGATCTCTCTGAATCTACAGTGTGCATTGCTTTGTTATTGTTGGTTCTGGTCTGGTTCTTTTCCTCCTCAGGGAACACATACATTTTTTTTCTCAGAAAATTTGTAGCTAAAGAAACCAGGGAATAATGAATCTTGTGTTCCAAAGTGAATAAAAATGTAATTAACTGTTGAATCTCTTGCTTGATGCACAATGAGCAAGAAAGCTGGGAACTGCAATTTAGGCTGTTTTCAGCTCACACTGCATCTGAAACTAGAGTAAAATTGCGTTAGTTCATAAAATTTGTAGCAGTCCTTTAGGGAATGTCCTAGTGGTTAAGTGCTTGAATCTTCATGTTGGAGATTTTAAGTTTGAATCTTGCAATGGGTGGGGCGGGGTTTGGAAAGGGGAGGAATATCTCTTATTGCATAGCCCATCATCCAACGTACTAAAAGATGGAAAATTGTAGCACTTATAGGAGTCTTATGCCCAATACTCACTTTAGTCAAGGTTTCTGTTGTCTTTTCTTTCTTTTCCTAAACAAATTTGGTTTTTGATTATCATGATTGTCAAGCAATTAATTTAGAAGAGTGGAAATTCTGTATTATGAAAGTGATTGTAACCTTTTGCTTTTATCTTGTATGTTGAATTTTTATGATGCAGCTGGCGACGCATAAAAATGCGCTCGGAGTAGCTGTAGGAGCCATAATAGGACATACCCTTTGCACGTCGTTAGCTGTGGTGGGTGGAAGCATGTTAGCATCCAAGATCTCTCAACGAACTGTAGCTACTGTTGGCGGCTTGCTCTTCCTTGGCTTTTCTCTGTCTTCGTATTTCTACCCTCCTCTATGATACTGGGGCTAACTTGATTCTTTACCGGGCATTGCAATGCTCTTCAGGCCAACTTTCTGTCTCTGTTACACATACCAAAGCTAGTTGAGGACAAGGTCATATATGTTATTTTGTGTAATTAGCTTTTGTGTCGTAATTGTTTAAGAAATTTTCTTTTTGTTGCAAAATTGTCTTAAGAAAGTCATTCAGTTATACTCTTCTAGTGTACCATTGCTCTCCAGTTTTAGTCTGTTTTCTTATTAAGTTGCCAAATTTTTATTGGCTTGCAATGCGATTTTCATAATACAATCGATTTTTTTCGGTTTGTTTAACCTCTTCTCTTAGGGCTAATAATGTATTAAATATATATTTTTTATTAGAAATTTATATTAAAAAATAAAATTTAATTTTTAATTTATTAATTATTTAATTAAATTTAATTGATATTAAAATTAATATCAATTTTTATATTTTATATATATTTATGATAAAAATATATATTGAATGCGCTCTTAATTTATATTTTAAGAACATAAATTAAAAAAATTCATTTATCATTTCTCTTTCGGATATTCATCCCAAATGCCGTGGAAGATTATGTTTGGTTTATGGAAAATAGAGAGAAGTGAAGTGATAAATTTTTTGATTAATTAAATTATAATTATTAATTCCTTAAAAAATAAATATTAAATTGGAACCACAACGTGTGGGCCAATTAATGGTAGACATACTCTCCTTCCCTTGATATTCTCCTGGGATCCTAATTCAAATAAATTTCATTAAATGGTAGAATTCAACACACCTCTTGTTAGGTGGATGTTTGCCATTCATTAACTTCCACTTGTACATGAGGCGGCTGCCCCTTTGATGTTTATTTAGGCAGTAAATAATAGCCCTAATACTTGTTTTATAAGAATAAAATCCAGGAGTTTAAATTTTACCCAACCTTTTCAACTTAATTTTTTGTTTATAGACAAAGCTAGAACCTAGTCAAACTCAAACGT